GAGCTGCACAGGAGGAGAGCTAAACAGAGCAAATAGCAGGGAGATTGATTTTACAAACCATTAATTGGTCTAATCAAGCCACAAGCCGTCAGTCTCAAAAGGCCTCCAGAAACATAAGACCTTGAGAGGAATTAAAAAGCTTTCCTGGAGAAAATAGCAAAGATAAAAAGAATTAACTTTTTGTAATGTCCTAAGCTCTCATTCTTAGAGCTAACAAATACTCACAATCGTAAATATTTGACATGGGTATGAAGAAAAAAAAGAGCTTTTTCGTGCAAGTTTAACAGCTCTTCACAGGCTAATTGATTAGGTTGTGATTTTACAGAGATATAGCAAAGAAAAAAATTGGAGGAATGCACAAAATAACTACATATCATACCCTTTTGAATTTCCATTTGGAACAGTTATTTCCAGGGACATTATTATTTATAATTTTAATACTTAGTATCTTTAGTAAGATTGCTTGTAATCAGTGCCAGACAACACAACCTATACACCGAAAGAGATAAAGATGAATACATTTTCCGGGCAGTAATAGATTTTGATCTATAACCAGTTGAACCAACCGTATTCAAAAATAGTAGTAGTAAAAAGTGGCTGCAACGGCAGCCCAAAACAGTAACAGAAGACCTTTCAGTGGTGTCAAAATCAACACAGTACACTCAGCTGAATTATCTTTTTAAATGCTAAATCTTGTTCGTAGCAAAGTATTCTCGGACAATTATGATGCCAAATGATTAAGGTAATATATCCGGGAAAAGATTAAACCATTAAACATACTACAAAAGTAAAACAATGACATTCATTCATTTAAATTCACCTCCTTGTAACAGTTAGTTGTACGTGAATTGATTATCTTTTGTTTGTGTTGATAATCCTATGTTTCTAAGATTACTGGTCTCCTAATTCAATAACACTGAAAAATAATACGGTTGAGTGAAAAACATAAGCAAGATGTCAGAGTAGCTATAAAAGAACGTGTCAAGATGTAAAATATTTTAACATATTTATCTTTTTCTAATTTATCTCTTTCCAAGGAGGACATTATTGGTTAACTCAGTAGACAAATACAACATTATCTATTTATCAAAATCACTACTGTAAGCTTGCCCTTAATTTCAAAAATTCAGTTATTGAAATGTAGCATCTTCAACACAGTGCTAGGGAGTACATTCCCAAGAAAACAATATAGTCAACCCTTCAATTCACAAAAAACTGTAGCAATTCCCCGTCATCGCACACATCAGCTAAATTACACCATGAGGTCATATTACCAAAAACCACATGTTGGATATCAAAGGAGAAATAGTATGCAGCACTGTATACATACATGATAACATTGGGCGAAATGGCTGAATGAAAAAAATCAGCACACAATGCTTTTTAGCCTTGTCATATTGCATTATATTATGGGTCTTTATAAGAAACTTCTAGATTACCCAACAAAACAAAAATTAAAATTGAAAACTCAGAAGAATGCATAAAACTTTTTATTATTCTTACCGGAGGTTGCTGTTAGATATTAGTAATTGGTATGACCTTTTCCTCAAAAGGAACAAACAGAAGAGAGCATGTTGGAGCTATATCTCTTACCGTGTATGCAATAAGCATTAGCTCGATTTTGTTTGGCCCTTAAAATCCTGAATTATTTTTGTCTATGTTCATGCATATGTAAAAGTGAAATATTTTTTTTGATATGTTTTACTCACAAAGAAGCACATCTACAATACCATGTCCTTAGAGTAGTAGCCGGCGGGTATGGAGGATTAATTTCAATTGTTGTACTGAACTGCCTTTATTCACATATTCAGTTCTAATTTGATTGTTTGATATTTGGAAAGGGTAAAATATTATATGTACTTTACCTGAGGATGATTTCGGTCTTCTAATTTTTCTAGCAAGAATGACTGGGTATTCATTATGCTATCCCAGTAGTTTATTCCCATCATGATCAATAAAAACTTCCCAAAGTATAAATTCTGTTGGTTTTTCCTGGATAAAATAAAAGGAAGATGTACAATTCATATATTAAATCTGCACGTAATACTGGAGAAGTACAAATGACAATAAATTTAAAATTGAAGCGCTACATATCTGACTTCTTTATAAAAAGAAGAAGCAATATTTAGCTTTTTATTAATTTTCATCAATTTTCAAAAAATGGAGATTTGTTGGCTCCAAACTATTGTGCAGGGATTGTTGGACAGTGGGAGAAAAGTTATAACTATATCATAGTTGAATCATTAGCGAAAATACCTAGAGGTATGTATTCAGTGATTGTCTCTGATGATAAATTCTAGAATTTTTCTTTCATTTGAAGCATATGTTGTCGGGCTACTGTTAATCACAATGGCAAGGACATCTTTAACTACAAAAATAAGGGTGAATAAGTTAATAGATAATGAAAGTCATTGTATTATGATAAAAAATAAATTTTAGATGCAGAAACAACATAGACAGCTAAACTGTGATGACCTAAAAGGTCATCACTTGCGTTTAATTGAATTCTGTGTCTCCGAGGCCTTGAAAACCTCATTTAAAGTTGTCTCGATTTGCGTGCACAGTCCGGGCACGTAGCCGAAAAGGTTAAATATGAAAATGTGTGAAAAATAATAAATTTTGACTATAAAATGAGCTAATTTGACTTCGGTCAACGTTTTGGGTAACGGACCCGGACCCATGATTTGATAGTCCCGGATGGTCCGTAGGAAAATATGGGACTTGGCGTATGCCCGAAATCGAATTCCGAGGTCCCAAACCCGTGAAATAAATTTTTAAAGAAAATTATTTTCTGAAATTGTGTAAGGAAATTTGAGATGAAATCTGATTAGAACATGATGGTATCGGGCCCGTATTTTGGTTCTGGTGCCCGGTACAGGACTTATATATATGATTTAAGATATTTATGTAAAATTTGGTGAAAAACGGACGTCGTTTGACGTGAATCGGACCTAAATTGCTAAAGTTAATGCTTTATGAAGTTTGAGAAATATCCTTTGATTTTGAGGTTTAATTCGTTGTTATTGAGGTTATTTTGGTGATTTGATCGCACGAATAAGTTCGTAGGATATTTTTAAGGTTGTGTGTATATTTGGTTTGGAGCCCTGAGGGTTCAGGTAAGTTTTGGATAGGCCAAGGAGTACATTTTGAACTTAGAAATTGCAGGTTTTTATTGCTGGTGTTCCAGACCCGCAGGCTTCGCATTTGTGAAGCTTGTCTCGCAAATGCGTGCCTTGTATCGCAAATGCGAGCCTTGTATCGCAAATGCGAGCCTTGTATCGCAAATGCGAGAGGTGGTCTGGGCAGCCTTCTTTGCAACGATTTGCGTGCGCAGTCCGGACGTGTAGTCGGAAAGCTTAAATATAAAAATATGTGAAAAATGATAAATTTTGACTATAAAATGAGGTTTTCAAGGCCTCGGAGACACAGAATTCAGTTAAACACAAGTGATGACCTTTTGGGTCATCACATAACCTTCAATTATCAAATTTGGATCCCTTGAGTTGATACTTGAAACTGTCAAATGGTGCAAGAGTTAGTCCCGTCGACGACCATATTGATCGTTTTTATTGGCTCAGCGAACGTGCTCCTATCAATTGTCCAAGTGAATTTCTTAACTGGATTTCCATACATATAATCTGATTCCTTAACTTGTGCAACAAACACCAAGTAAGTGTGAAAAGAATGAAGCAGATTTTCATAATGTGTTATTTCAGCATTGAATATAATGTCGTGGACTTGGTTTTCCTGTAACAATATAAGACACAATTAGGATATCCAAATATGTATGACATGAATAATTTTTTTCTAAAATTCATGGTTTTCTTGCAATTTTTTAAGCAAATATACGGGCAAACAGTAGATTTGTTCATTTATTGCTGGCAATTTATGAGTTCAACAAAAACTATATTTTCATCATGCATAATCATAAGTTGTTACCTTCTTTGTTATCCCTAAATCTGCTTTTATCAACTACTTGAACTCTGCAGGTCCACTCTTCTATTTTCAAAATAATCGCATTGATATTAAACCTTTCTTTCATGTTCAGATAATCTGCAATTACAGCATGTTACAGTATAACAGTATGTTTGAACTCCCATATAGCACACAACAGCCATGAAATTGCATAATCAAAAGTATGTGAAGAACACAAAAAAATCACAAAATTCTAAAAATCAGCAAGGTTAGAGCTTAAAATGCACTTTTACCGCCCGATTTAACACACAAGCCATTGAATTGCAAAACTAAAATTGTGAAAATAGAAAGGTTGTTTCCAATAGACCCTCGACTACTTCGCTGTTACAAAGCATATATATAATTAACAACTCAATTAGATAAGGTATTTCTAAAGCAATGACTGCGGATCATTTCAGTTTTTATATATATTGTAATGTCTGGTCTGAATTGTCTCTTTGAGTGCTTTGGGCACCAAAACTATGCCCCACAAGCCACAGCTAAGCGGCAGACATAATTAGTATGCAAAGAACCCAAAAGACGGCAAAAAATTAAAAGAGGGGAAAAAGATCAGGGAAAATCAGAGAGAAACATGAGAAGAGAACCTGCAAAAATCATTGAGCTTCACAATTACCCAAAAGAATACAAAAGGAAAAGAGAACTTGCACAAACTATTGAGATTCACAATTACCAAAAGAATACAAAAGGAAAAAAAAAAAGAGAAAAGAAAAGGAGATCTAAGAAGAATGCAGACAACCTAAAACAAACCTAGGAAAAAATGAAGGAAAAAGATGTAAAGATATGGGCAACATTGATTGAAAGTGAAACTTATCTGCAACTTGAGAGCACGAAGAGGAACAAAGACCTAAGTTATTATCTTGTTAAAATACACCTGGTGTTGTCTAATAGTTACACGCGGAGCTCTGTATAAATAAATGAAAGCCATGTATATAATATCAGTGAGAGATGTTCTGAAATGACTAAATTAACCTTGACCTTTATAAAAAAAGACACAAAACACACATGTCGAAACTCAAGCGCTTCTAATATATAGAAAATATTTAGAACTCAAAATAAAAATTGCTTTTATATTTTCTTTAGTATATTAAGACTAAAAATTTAAAAAAAAAAAGAGAATTTTCTTTTAGTACCTCTTTAAAATTTTTCTTTAAGATATTAATTCCAAAAATCCAAAAAGATTTTCTTTTGAGGTTCTGCTTTGGTAAATTAATGAAAAAATGAATAGAAAAAAAGTCTTTTTATTTTTACTAGAAATTTAGGACATTGTGCATAGAAGAAAAAAACATACTTTATCTTTGGTTTATTTTTAGAGTTTCTCCCTTAGGTAATCAAATTAAAATCCAAAAATATTTTTTTATCTTTTTCATTTCTTGGCTCGAAATCTTTCTTTCAGGATATCAAACAAAAATTCAAAATATTTTTCTTTGGTTCAATACTTGGATTTCCTTCCTAAAAAAAGAATAAAAAATAGTTTTCTCTTCTAGGGGATTTTTCCTTAATAATTTCTTATAGAGTATCTATTTCAAAAAAAAAAATGAAATATATGCTCGTTTAAGATTGAGTTTAGAATAGATTATAGAATATTAAGTCTAAAAAAAGAGCGAGATTTTCTTCTTTTTTCTCATCGAAGTAGTCATTAAAAAAAATGTTAGTTTGTTTACTTTATTCCCGATCTTCTCGAACTATGCAAAGATCTGATTCATGCGGCGTCATGATACGTAGGCAACCTACATAGGGTTCGATCGAATCAATTTTTATTAAAAGGAAAAAAAAAACAAAAAAAGGAGAAAAGAAAAAAAGAGGGTGAAGTCGTGGGATGTGAGAAATGAGAGGAAAGAAAAGAGCGATAATCAGAAAGAAAAAAAGAAGGAAAATGAGCAAGCCAAGAAGTGCTAGAAAAGAAAAAAAGAAAAGGTTGAAATGAACTAATTGGGATGATGCCAAGTGACCTTGTGACCCTCGAAGTCATTTTTGAACCGTTAATTGTTGCTAGGTGCATTGCACGCAATGTGATATTTTTAGCCGTTAAATGCCCTAACGCTAACGTGATGACCCCATTTTGTTCTTTTTTGTTTTCTTTATTGAGCAGAATGATGGTTTGTTTGTGGTTCTTAAGGTAACTCATCCATACAACACAAGGTCAAAGAGCAAGGTAGTCATAGCTGGCAAAGAGTTGGACACAGGGGTCATTGATCCGTCTAAGGGAATTGTTGAATCAGAATCTGAGTTGAAAGGGGAGGTCCAAATGTTGAAACAGCAGATGACAGAAATGTATCAGTCTTGGATCATGGGGCATCCTCCACCTTCATTCCCCACTAACTACACTAAAAACCTCGCAACTATCCCACTACTATCACAAATCCATATTCCCACTACTACTGATATCACCCCACAACCTTTTCACACACTACCCCCCAAAATCACCTCATATCTCGCTCCTTTGGCCACTCATGCATTTGTAGCTCCTCCACCAGCTATTTTTCCTCGATCCTCTAACGAGACTGTGTTCAAAGTCCCGATGCCCAACACTATGCTCCAGAACCAACTTTCAAAGTTTCGGATTCATACTCTCATGCTCCTCATTTCGAGTCTCCCGGTGAAACTGAAAAGCATGCTAAGGCAGTGGAGCAAGATGAGATATCCAAGAATGTGAAAATCTTAGAGCAGTCTTTAAGAAACATGCAAGGGATAGGAAGCCATATGAGCGTGGCTTACAAAGACATGTGCTTGTTTCCTGACATCCAACTACCTGCTGGGTTTAAGATGCCAAAGTTTGATTTGTATAACGGACATGGAGATCTCGTGGCCTATCTAAGAGGCTACTGCAATAAGATGAGAGGCTCTGGTAGGGAGGACAAATTATTGATGGCATATTTCAGTCAGAATCTGAGTAGGGCAGCTCCGGAGTGGTACACCCGCCAAGATGCTAGCAGGTGGTACACATGGGATGATATGGCTCAGGCCTTTGCCTGGCACTTTCAGTACAATATAGAAATTGTCCCGGATCGCATGCCCCTCGCCAAGATGGAAAAGAAGCCTACTGAAAGCTTTAGGGAATACGGGCTCAGATAAAGAAAGCAAGCTGCCAGAGTCAATCCCCCGATGGAAGAAAACGAGATGGTCGAGTACTTTCTTCAAGCTCAAGAGCCAACTTACTTTAGGCATTTGATCTCGGCTGTGGGTAGGCCTTTTAATGATGTGATAAAAATGGGAGAAATAGTAGAAGATGGGCTAAATTCGAGCAAGATCGTGAGCTATTCTGCTTTGAAAGCCACAACACAAGCAATTTAGAACGACACAGGAAACTTGCTGGGTTAAAAGGAACACAATGATGTTGCCATGGTTGTTTCAGGGTCACGACATGGTCTAAAGGGTCCGCCTCACCAATATACCCAGCCTCAACCCCAACCCCAAACCTATCCCCGAGCTCCACCTAATCCACCTCAGTATTATCCTTCGAACAATGTCCGGTCATCTGTCCAACCACCAAGTCACTCCTTATGGCGAGCGCCAGTACCGCAAAATGCACTCTTGCCTTCACAACATTTTCGAGCACCCAACAACCCTAGAAAATAGGGGCAGGGAGGGGAACAAAGGCAAAGAAATAGTTTTACGCCAATCGGTGTGACGACCCGGCCGGTCGACTTAAGAATTAATGCCCCGATCCCTTATTAACCGCTTTCCCCAAGTTTATTTCTACTAATGTAATTTTTCGGGATGTTCGGTTTTGAGTTCGAAGAGTTTTGGGAAACTTAGTCCCTAAATGAGAGCTTAAATGTTGGAAAGTTGACTGTAATCGGAATAGTGTGAAGACGGCCTCGGAATAGAAATACGATGGTTTCGTTAGCTCTGTTGGGTGATTTTGGGCTTAAGGGCGTGTTCGGGTGGTGATTTGGAAGTCCATAGCTAATTTAGGCTTGAAATGCCGAAAGTTGAATTTTAAAGTTTCCGGTCCGATAGTGAGATTTTGATCCGAGGGTCAGAATGGAATTTCGAGAGTTTTAGTAGTTCCGCTGTTTCATTTAGGATGTGTGTGCAAAATTTCAGGTCATTCGAACGTGGTTTGGTTGGGTTTTTGATCAAAAGCGGAATTCAGAAGAATTTAGAAACTTAGACTTGAATCCGTGTGTTTTGGTTGATTTGATGTTGTTTAAAGTGTTTTGAAGATTGGTACAAGTTTAAATAAGATTTTAGGATATGTTGATGCCTTTGGTTGAGGTCCCGGAGGCCTCGGGATGAATTCGGATGGTTGACGGAAGGATTTTGAGTTTGGAAGTTTGCTGCAGCAACTGGTCTTCTGTCATAACCGCACCTGCGGTTTAGGTTCCGCAGGTGCGGAGCCGCAGAAGCGGCGTAGAGACTGCAGAAGCGGACTTTGGGTATTTCTTCAGGAACCGCAGATGCGGTGAAAGGTTCGCAGAAGCGGAACCGCTCATGCGGTTAATGTTCCGCAGATGCAAAAACTGGGTCTTTAAGTGAAAGTCGCAGATGCGACGAAGTCTCCATAGAAGTGGGACCACAGATGCGGTCGCAGGGTCGCAAATGCGGAAATCACTAGGCAGAACATATAAATTCTTGCCTTCGCAAATTTTAGCCCTTTTTCATATTTTTCAAAACGGGAAAAAGCTTGAAGAGCACTTTTCAAAAGGGATTTTCAGAGAAGTTCATTGGGGTAAGATCCTTGATCCCTAAACTCGTTATTGGAGTGATTTTTATCAACTTAAGCATTAAAAAATTAAGGAAAATCAGTGGTAATTGGGGGTTTATGGCTTGTGTTATTGGATACATTTAAGTGTTGATTTGAGGGACAAATTGAGGCCCGATTTTGGTACTTTTAATATTACTGAACTTGTGAGAGTGCGAGGTTTCTGGAAATATAAATTTTATCCAATTCCGAGATGTGGGCCCGAGGGGCGTTTTGGTCATTTTACATAATTTCGCGTATTAGCTTAGAATTTAATTGTAGAATCAGTTACTTGAAGTGTTATTTATGTTATGCAATTGAATTGAATAGATTTGGGCCATTTGGAGTCGAGTAGTCGTGGAAAAGACGTGGTGTCGGGTTTATTTTGAGCTAGTTCGAGGTAAGTGGCTTGTTTAACCTTGTGTGGGGGACCTTCCCCTTAGGATATGATATTTCATAATTGAAAATGCCTTGTACGTGAAGTGATGAGTGCGTACTTGAGCTAATTTTTGAAAATCCGATTTTACTATAAGTATTTAAACTGAGTTCCTTTCTTTCCTGTTTTATTCTACTTGCAAACTTAGCCTGTTGTTAGATTAGAAAAGCATGCTTAGTTGACTTAATTTCCTATTTGCTTAAATTGCCTTAATTGCATTATGTGAAGCATGTTAGGCTAGAATTAACTGTTTACTTAGTACAAAATTAGCATTTATTTCAGTATTCTTGTGTTGCTGCTGTGTGTTTTAATTTGGAACTATGGGACGGCATCCCGGGAGATCCCTTGTACGTATTTAGGATTTGTAATGAGGTGCAGGATACCAAGAGTTCTCTGGCCCGTATATTAAGGATACCGAGAGATCCTCAGGATACCCAGAGATCCCTGGCATATATTGAGGATACCAAGAGATCCTCGGTATATCAAGAGATCCCTAGTATATATTGAGGATACCAAGAGATCTTTGGCTATCATCCTTGCTGTGAGTGGTATTTCCTTGTGGTTTGCCTTTATCTCTGTTCCTCTATTGTACTCTTATTATCCTGTACAGATTCTTACTGTAGATTCTCAATTGTACTTCTTATCTTATCCTGTCATCTTATTATTTACTTAATCTCAGTAGGGCCCTGACCTTCCTCGTCACTACCTGACCGAGGTTAGGCTTGGCACTTACTGAGTACTGTTGTGGTGTACTTATGCCCTTTTTCGCATG